ATTTCAATGAAAAATATCGTATACCCCCCCCCCCTTATTTAAAGAGCTGGAAGAATTAGGGGTATAATTAAATATTTTACACTGGAATTAAAATAATCAGTCAATTACCATTAAACTGTTCTTTGCATTCAACAAAGATTTTACGGTAAAATTGCCATTAGTATTGAATTAAATGGGTGTAAAATGTAGGCAGGAATCGAGAGTTAGCGTGCGTAGTTCTTCTGATATCTGACATATTAATTTCCCCACTTTTATAAAGTTAAATACATGCAGATTGTTCCTTTACTAGCATTAAAATAACTAGTATTTTCATTTACCGATTTACATGTATATACATGTACATGTATACTAGTATACCTACTGTCTTCTTTGCTTCTATTCCTGTTTTTGTTTACTGTTGTTTTTTTTCGTTTGTTTTGTCGTAGTTTTTTCCCCTACATCAAAGAACAGTTCTTTATTACATTTTCAACAGTGAAATACTGTTTTATCAATTATTAAATTATTATAATAAACATTGATTTATCAATGGAATAAAAGCGATTTTTTTCACATCGTGAAAAAAAAATCAAAGTGGTATTTTTTCATAGTGTGAAAAAAACTTATCAAAAGTGCGACAAACTCGAATTTTTCCTTCCATTCATGAAGAGTGTTATATAAAACGTACTCCCTAGCGTGTTATACATGTAAGCTAGCAAGAGTGAATAAACCATCACAGACGGACGCACCAGGATAACAGTTTAAACTTTTAATGTAACATATCTATCAATATGTACCTACATGTACATTGTAAGTAAAAAGAGGGAGAGAGAGAGAGAGAATTAAGAGGTCTATTCTACAATCCTCGTTTACTTGTCACCCAAAGGTTATATGACCTTCGACGCGAAACTTTCTATAGGCCAGTCTTCGATTTGTTCTTGATACAAATGCATAAAAGCCACCATTCCGATGTCATCTCCTCAAATAATTAACCTTTAATTGGAGCATTATTTTTGTCATACCATTTCTAGTATAATTGTTCGTAATTTATTTCCAAGAAAGCTTATTGATGATGACCATGGCACAATCATATTTGTAAAAGAACATCTGAGATTTTCAGGAATTCATGTAAAATATTTATTGTTCCTCCCACTTTCGCTAAAAGTAGGGGTGGGGATATTTATTTGGCACTGTATGTCCGTCCGCATAGCTGTCCGTCATCCGTCACTCTGTCTGTCTGTAACCCATTCGTTTCCAGTCGATTCGAACGATTTTGCTTTGAAATTTTAAATCAGAACTCCCTATGACTTGAAGACTTGATTTTGAGGTCAAAAGTCAAGCGAATTAAATTTTGTTATGAAATAGTATACTATAGTTTGCGGATGAAATGTATCTGATAATCTTCGAAACTACTTTAGCTTTTGCATTAAAATTTCATACGTGAAACTCCTTATGACTTCAAAAAACCCCTACTGCATGATCTTAAATATCAATATTTCAAATATACATTGTATTGCTTAAAAGGATTTATTTCTAGATGTTAAGTTTAGTTCTTTTGGAGCTTTTGAAATGAACGTTCGAGTGATATTTTTTTCTTACTTAAGAAAACCCCCTATTCATTTTGAGGTCAAAGGGTCAAGGTCAAGGGCAAACATTCATATTTGTTAGGAAATGGTACACTTTAGTTTCCAGATGATAGCTCTGAAAATATAATAGCTTTTGCGATGGAATTTCATATCCAAACTCCCTTTGACTTAAAGAAGACCCTAAATTGTTCTGAGGTCAAAAATACATGAGTCACAAATTTATAATATGCATGGAATGATTTATATTTGATACAAGTCGAAAAATAAATTTTTTTTTTATATTTGAAAATGTATTGATCTAAAATCTTGTACAAATAATATGATGAAGAGCAATATATTGCTTACATATTTTTGAATGACCTTCGAACGTTTATTTCTTTTTTTTTTTTTTTTTTTTTTTTTTTTTTTACCTTAATCTGAGATGAAACTTACGGTGAATACTCTTTCTAATTTTAGAAAGACCTCTGTTAATTTTGAGACCAAAAGGTCAAAGGTCAAGGTCATAAATTCATATTTGGTTTAAAAATTCTCGGATCAATTCACTTTAATACTGTCTACAATGAAAATATGACCTCAATGGATTTTGATTGATTGATTGTATGTTTTACGTCCCAGTCGAGAATTCATTTTTCACTCATATAGAGACGTCACTATATACCGGTGAAGGGCTTAAAATTTAGACCTTTACTCGGCACTCAGGACCATTGAGCACTGAGGGTTCATTATCGTGCCAAAGCCTACCGTGACACGGGGCTTGGTTTTTAGGGTCTCATCCGAATGTCCCACAACTTTCACTTCAAAGTGCCGAGCGCTAGGCGAAGGAACAGTTGTTACCTATTTTTTATCAACTTAGGTCAGTCGCGGCCGTGATTCGAACACACGACCTTCCGATCACGGAGCGAGCGCTAATTGGATTTTGAAGTAACAAAATTTTTTATGAATAGTTTCTAGATAAACTGCAGCCCTTAAGCTGGGGAGATAAATTCCTATAATTAACTTGATTATTTTGTTATACTTTGGCATATACAGGACATTAAAAATATTTATTTTTAATTTTATTTATTTATTATTATCTTATTTTATTTTATCTTATTTATATATATATATATATATATTTATATATTTGTTTGTTTGTTTGCATATACATACATTTTTTTCGGGAAAGTTTATGCACGATGCTAACAAGGAATGGAAAGTCACTTCATCATTCCTCTAGCCTGAGCCGTGAGTAAATTCCACTCTGACTTGGATTCATCGATGTTTTTAATTAGGTATCGAAAATCTACCCTTTCACTTTTTATGTCGTAATTACGAAAGCGCTGAATATTTCATTCCATCGCCCTTTGAAGTTCCTTCTCATTCTTGATGCTTCTGTGTTTCTTGAACAGTAAATTTAGGAATGAATAATTACAATGATTGGCGTTGATGTTTTGTTTTGCACACTGAATTTTTAAAGAATGCTTGCAAAAGTGCATCCTTATTGCCTTTATTTCCAAACGATGCCTCTTTGGAATGAGCTAGATTAATTCTGAATTATCTGCAACTCATCTAACGGAAAGGGCAAGATACAACACATCGTCTTGCAACTTTCTTGCAATCCCTGATCATTTTATCTTAAGTCAACTTTTCGAAATAAAACGTTAGAGGCAGGGCTATATAGTACCAGTGTTTGCCATGTCTGATTTCCGTCCGCCTGTCCCACTTTGCGATTACCCAATTCCAAAGAAATTTTAGTTTATTTTTATAGTACATGTACTTTTAACCAAGGTTCACATTGATGAGAGATATTCAATTGTGACACAATTCCATTACCGTGTCCTTCCAAATGACCTTGACCTTACCTTTTTCTATCTCATTCTGCATTTACCTTAGTTTCCAAGAAACAACTTCATACCCAAGTACGTACATCAACGACCCTAATTTGTACATTACCTTTTATACGACCATGACCTCTCATTTCCTTATTTACTACTTACACCTCATTTTCATAGGAACTGTTCAAGAAACCTTGATCAAACTTCATACACTGTTGCACACGTGTAAAATTTCTGACACTGACCTTCTGTATAACTTTCCCTTATTTTGCAATTGGTTCATCTTCTCAAATTCCGTCAAGAGTTACATCACACAACTAATACAAAAATGTGTCTCCATGTTCTTTACATTGACTTCAGTATCAAAAGATATGTCTTTATAAAATCCAAGAACTGAGGCATAAAACAATTTTGCTATTGATTACTGCAGTATATCAATTTTGTTTAGAACTGATGCAGATGGTAAAATTTCGCAGGTTTTGGAGTGATATAAGTGAACCTCGAAATAAGGGTTCTTTTATAAAGAATATATAACAAAATATTCGACACGGAAGGTTAAAAAAAATTATTTTCAAATGTAATTTTCCCTATTGATCCACCTGTGACCGATAATCGTGCGCGCACAAATATTTTTTTAACAACGAACCTCAGAATTTATAATGTACTGTAAATCACCATATTTTTGCGAGACCTTATTTTTGCGAGATAAGTACTTGGTACTTATAAGCGGTACAAGATTTTCACGAATTCTGTGTAATACTGTATAAAATCTATACTTATAAAAATATTTGCGAGAACAAAATATTTGAATAGAGATGCCGCGTAATTGATTTAATCAGTATTTTATTATGTAAAGTCATTTTACATAATTGGATTGGACATCAGACATGGCCTATATAAGTCCTCTCCAAGAAGGTAATTACGCGAAAATAAAGTTCTCTTGAATAAAAAGTGATTTACAGTACCCCCATGGCTATCCCACCTCCTTCCCCTCAATGAAAATTTACCTTCCTACTGTACAGGCGTGATAATCACTTGGTCCTGTCTAAGCCAGACCCGTAGGAAGCAATATTATTGGGGGTGGGGTGGGTGGGGTTACATAACCAAACATTTTCATTTGGACAACCAAACAAAAATTCCTTGACAAACCAATTTGAAAAAAAAATCCGTCAGACGTAATTTATAATTGAAAGGACACATCAATAAAGTAGCTTTGTTTAAACTATATATCGGTAAAATAAATAATTATACGGCCTCCCCGTGCCCCGCTTCTTACGGTCCAGTAAAAACACTCGAGGTTTCGGGTTTCGGCATTTAGAAATTAAAGCTTTCTTAGATTTTTGGTATATAGAATCCTTTATCTAATAAATTAGACAAGAGTATTGTAAATAGAAATTTAAAAGTTTTATACTGTATATCAAATTAAAAATTAATTCTATAATCATTAAGAAAAAAATGATCGAATCCTCTGGTGTACTACATTTACCCAATGCTAAATCATTATCTTTTGTGCGTTTGTAAAAGATTATCTTTGCAGTAGTACAATAAAAAGCTGAATCAACGCAGAGTATTTTTTCAGGCTGATGAAAACATGATGTTTTGCAGAAGAAAACTTTGGTACATGTAACAAACATGTTTTGCAGAAAGCTATTACAAACAAAATCTTCGCCATTACCGTTTGTTATTCGCTTTAACATAGAGAGGCTATTCCCTTTGACCTATTCCAAGAGATTTTTTCATACGAAGTATAGAAAAAAGAAAAGTTATGTTGTAAACCATACTGATAATGAAGCAACTGTTAAACCGGCTATTGTTGATATGAGTTTTAGCTCTTTTGTCTCGAATGAATCAGAAAGCGAACGAGCATCACATTTTGAAACTATTTCAGAGCTTAACAAGAAAATAAGCGAATTAACAAAGGATTTGAATGTGGTAAGGCAAGAGATTGATTCAGATTCTGATAAAATTGGAAGTCAAAAAATTGCAGCAGGATTGTCCAAGAAGAACGACTTAACTGGAACACCAGACAAGTCCATTAAAGTGAGCAGTGTTCACTGTGGGGGTTGTGGTGCCTTACTCCACTGTCAGGATGTGATGTTACCAGGTTACATGCCAAGTGAGGTTTTCAAAGACTTGACAGTGGAAGAATTAAAAGAATCCAAATGTCAAAAATGTCACAAAATGCAGCATCAAGGTATGTTGTTCAACATTAGAGCAAGTGATGAAAAGGTTCATGAAATAATGAGAAAGATCAGCTCTGAAAGATGTTTGGTGTTGTTAGTGATTGATTTGTTTGATATCGAAAACAGCATTCCGGACATTTTCTCACAGATTTTAACTGAAAGGACACCTATTTATGTGATAGGAAACAAAGTCGATATAATTCCTCAGGATCAGCCTGATTATTTAGACTCTGTAGAGGAAACTCTCATTTCTGCTTGCAAGAGAAGAGGTCTAAATAGACATAATGTGAAAGAGGTTTCCTTGATAAGTGCAAAAACGGGATATGGAGTAGAAAAATTAATATCATCACTTCTTCTTAATTGGGGTATGAGAGGTAAGGATTTCTTCACAACAATGAAATGCATGTCTGATTTTTTGAGAAATTACAAAGTAAATTATTTTTTACCATGTTGTAACTTTTAGACAATGGTATAGCATCAAGGTTTATGAATTTTACTTAGAAACTGCCTTAAACTTTGTTAAATGTAAATTTGTAAACAATGTTAATAGATATTTAAAATGTAGTTCTAATAATGTATAGATCCAAATGCATAAACTTAACTAACAATATTTTGAAGTGGAAATAAGTTTAGTTACTTTTTTCAACATTATCATAGAGGGCATTAGAAAATTACTACTGGTAGGCTATGGTCAGTAATCATAAAGTTCTTAAAAAAGTTGATATTACTTAAATTGTTTGTTTCCTTCTACAGGTAATGTTTACATGATTGGCACTGCTAACAGTGGAAAGTCTACTCTGTACAATAGTTTGCTTCATTCAGACTACTGTTACTATAAGGTCAGGGATGTCATCCCCAAAGCCACTGTGTCTGTGTGGCCAGGTATAAAATCATACCATGATTGTTTGCAAGTTGTCATATATCCAATTTATTTTATTATGAAGGAATCAGTGCCAATAAGATTAATGATGGCAATGCTTCCATTTTTTGACCCACCCCTACCCCCATCCCCAACCCTAAAAAAGGAAATGGAAAAAAAGAAGAAACAAACAAAGCCCTGATGAAATATTACTTTGAAGTTGCATACAACAATGAAATAGGAGAAATGGAGAAATTTATTAAAAAACCTCCAAAGATTAATTAAATGAAGCCAAACATTTCAAATTATTGATTGATTGAAATGAATATATAATATATATTTCTATTTCAGGAACAACTATCAACATTCTGAAGTTTCCCATCATGAATTCTAAAACAAATTGGTTGATGAAAATGAGACAAAAAAGACTTTTGGAAACTCAAGTAAAAGAGATTCTTCGACACAAGAAGATGAAAGAGGAGATCAAAAAACAAAAGAAATTAGTAGCATCATCAATTATAACCACTTTACATGGTAATAGCATCATCAGTTATAACCACTCTACATGGTATTAACATCATCATTTATAACCACTCCTCTAACTACTCAAAAAGTCCTTTATCATCTAAAGTTTGCACTCGCAAGGATGTTTCGTCTGTCGTTAGTTGTTTTCAAGTAAGCTACATCGGACGCAAGCTTTTATTGACGTCATTTATTTGGCTTCTTTCAAATGTACAACTGACTTTTTGAGAATTCAGCGGTGAACCGTACGCCGTTGTCAACTGTGTTGCTAACACTGAGGGTAACATTACAGATTGTTAAATGCATCTAAACCAATCAGATTTTAGTATTTAACATGAAAGTAAAATAACGTCATTTATATCCAGTCTACACGGTATTGACATCATCAGTTATAACCAATTTACATGGAAATGACATCATCACTCAGTTAAAATTACTGTACATGGTAATGACATCATCAATTATAACCACTCTACATTGTAAGAACATCATCAGTTATAATCACTCTACATGGTAATGACATCATAAGTTATAACCATTCTACATGGTAAAGATATCATTAGTTATAACCACTCTTCATGGTTATGACATCATAAGTTATAACCACTCTACATGGTAATGACATCAACAGTTATAACCACTCTACATGGTAAAGATATCATAAATTATAACCACTCTACTGGTAATGACATCATCAGTCATAATCACCCTACATGGTAATGACATCATAAGTTATAACCACTCTACTGGTAATGACATCATCAGTTATAAATAAACACATTTAGAATATTTTAAAATTAATCCAGTATTCAATAAATTTTTGGAAAAAATTAATAGCTCTGATGAAAAATTTTTAGACTCGGCAATCCCAGCAGATTGAATTCATTGCTTGTATGTTTTTTTTTTTGTTTTTTTTTTTACATCCCATTCAAAAATTTTTCTCACATGTAGAAGCATGGCCTGATTGGCGTCCTTTAGGTGAAGTGCTAAAAATTTTGACCTATGCATGGTGCTTATGGCCAAAGCAGTGAGGGATCTTTATCATGCCAATGACAGTGAATGACTACTGTGACACGGGACCTCGGTTTTTTAAGGTCTCAGCCAAAAGACCCGTGACTTTCACTACTAGCACTGGCACTTGGTGAAGGAACAGTCACTACTGATGTTAAACATCTTAAGTTTGAAGCAATGCCAGGATTGCTGATTGGAAATTCAAATATGCTGATTAGGACAGATTACTTCCAAAATGAAATATGCAAATGTATATGAAATATAATTAATATTGTGGGGAACTGCATAAGCCTGCAGTGTACATGTATATGTGTGAACATGGTGAAATAAAGATACATGTATATGCACCACATTAATGTGTAAGGATGCTCTGCTGTATATGGTATTTAATTATTCCAAAGGCAAAACAGAAGTTGCAAAGACAAAATTACTTCAATTACTGCTTGTGCATTATTTATTTTGGCATTCACAATTTCACACAATAAGTTTTATTACTTTAAGGAAAAGTAGAAAAAACAGATTTTACAAACGATGCAGAAAAAAGGGCTCTGTACTCAGGATTTAATCTCATGGCGTATGAATACAAAGAGGACAAAGTACGAACCAATGATGGGAAAGAATTCATCATGGAAACTCCAATGAAGTATGATGAGAGGGATTATAAAGACTCTAGATTCTTGTGCGATACTCCTGGCCTTTTGTGTGACAATCAGGTAAGATAATTTTTCGATGAAATAATTAAAACTTTTGTTTCATATACGAGGGGTTATCAAAGAGTTCGTGGACTGATGTGCTAAAATTAATACTATGTAGTCTGTGTTTACAAAATTTATAAGGAACATAAAACAACAAAAGTTTTAAGAAATGTTGAAAATTTTAGCTTGATACGTTGATAATTTGCCAAATTATTCTAAAATAAAAAAGGCATTATATGATCACCCAGTGCTGTTGCGGTTTAGTTTCATGACGTCCGACAATGTCATTGTTTCTCATTGTCCGCTCTCTCTACCTCATACACTTATCTTGATGAGATTATCTGGAGTTAAGAAAGGACTTAAGCCCATCTTGTTTATATGACTTTACAATGTCATGAACAGAGCTTTCAATACATATAGTATTGTAAATAGATCTATACATAGGGAAAGATCCTCTTTTGATTATGCCAGAATACTTAGTTTGTTGGAGATCAATTTCTGCCAGAATACTTAGTTTGTTGGAGATCAATTTCTACCACACATGATCAACATCACTTTTTGACGTGACTGACTTTTGACATCCTGACTACAAATCAATATTAACTGCATCTTTCATCTCTCTGAATCTTTTTTTGGCATTTAAAAACAAGTACTTTGGATGCGTTTTATTTTTCTGTAGCCCGTATAAACATTCCCTAGTTCTATACCAGTTTTTTCCTATTGTAGCAAAACTCTATAGAATGTTGGAAAAAGAAATTCCTCCCCCTTTTTGACGTCATTTTCAAGCCCTTAATTGTTTGGACATTCCATACAAAATTTACGATAAAATTACATAAAACTTACAGAATGGGATAAAAATTGCAAATTTTACAGAACAAATGTGTCATACCACATGCCTGAATTAATAGGATTTTTTGATGACAAATACCCATATGAAAAGAGTCTTTCTCATCATATTTGAGGTTGTGCCGCCTGGATATACCATTGCTTACAAAAACATAAACAATTTATAAAAACAAAAAAAAAAAAAAAAAAAAAAAATGAAACTTATGATTTATTCTTTAGATAGAAAAAGTGATGCTAACTAAATGTGTTGAAATTCATTGATGTACCTAAAGCAGTTTTAATTTTATGGTGCTAGTCCACAAACTTTTTGATAACCCCTTGTATAATACTTATTAGTAGGGGTATAATGATACACTGATATACTGCAATACACAAAAAATTGTATCTTAAGATGGTATGAAAAATGTACTTGCATATCCTAATGCATCAGATTTTCAGTATTTTAAATTCACTTCTGATATATTCTTATGAAATAAATGTTGTAGCTTACAATTTACATTTATGGTGCTGCACAAATTCACTACAAGACATGTGAAATGTTTGTGTGAGGTATATGAGTTGTTTACAAAGATACATCTGATGAGTATTATCTTTTTTTAGTTAAACTTCATTTAAAACTTAGATGGTTACAATTTCAGGTAAGAGACACAATTTCTATATAATAATGGTTTGGGCCATGGTTATTGGCCTGGGTAGCTCAGTCGGTAAAGCACCTGACTAGTGATGCAGGGGTCCCGGGTTTGATTCCTGATCCGGCCATACATTTTCTCCTTTCCTGTTAAAATAAAATTGTGAAGATGATATACTACAGTACATATCATGATATTATTTATGAATTTTACAGTATATCATGATAATATGTCAGCTGTATTGTTTATACCCCTACTTATTACACAGTATAAAAATAAAGGAATTGTTCAGGGTTCTCCACAAAGGGGTTTAACCATGGCCGCCCACCATTGTTAAACTCTATGGTCACCATGATTAAATTTTTATTGCATTGAATAAGTGAGGTGTAGAAGCTTTAACATGCATCTGTGCTTTCGATTACGTATTGCACAGCTTCCTGCTATTGTGAACAAAACTTTAAGTCCTTTTCAGTGATTGGAATTGTTTTAAATGGTGTCTAATGTGGAATGTTGTATAATCCTATCAATTTCTTTGGAACCAGTGGTGTCTTGATTAGACAAGTTGTACTGTATATAAAGTTTGGGAATAATCACTCAGACTTAGAGGAAATGCTGCTGATTGTTGTAGATCCACACAGAGCTGACACCTGAGGAACTGAAGCTCATCATCCCTACTCGTAAGATTGTTCCCCATTGTTATTTACTGAAGCCAGACCATACTGTGTTCATCACTGGACTAGGAAGGATTGACTATGTAGAGGTACAAAATGCAAATTAGCAAATCATTTTGATATTACAAAACAGTGATTTTTCTTCTAGATATCTTTTCTCAAAATGTTCATTTTTTATAAATTATGGTATTTTTCATATAAGGTAATATCAGTGCAAAAAAAAAAAAAATGATTTGGGAATCTGAGGAAACAATTAATATTTGTACAGTTTTTCAAAATACAATTCATTATTTATTTTCAAAGGAAAAATTTTCCAAATAATTTGAACATTAACATTTTGTTTGGTTACAGGGGAACCAGGATGTGATGTTGGTGATTTTTATCAATTCTAAGCTTCCTGTGTATGTGATGCCTAGTCATGAAGCAGAAGAGTTCTACCACAACAACATTGGGACAGATGTACTGGGAGTAGGTATCTCAGAGATTCAGAATCAAGCATAATTTTCACTAGGAAGGATGTGAGAGTTTTTCAATCAAAAAACTGTTAGGAGAATGAGGAGGAATCTTATTATTAATCAAGCCAGGTAGCATTTCAGTGTTGGGATGTAGAAAGGGAAGGAATTGTATAATTGATCATTGATGTCTTTAACTAACTACTGGTAATAACCTGAATAACATTTGCTAAAAATAAATGATTGTTGAATGCAACTTTTATAATGTATTCCTCAAACTGATCAACTTCTGCTATGCATGCATATGTCATATTCAGAATTGTTTTGTTGTAGGTTCCTCTTGGTGATGAATTAAGGCTAGCAAAGCTTCCACCACTGAAGAGTGAAGATATTCGGATCCACCTCCAGGACCACCCTCAGAAATTGGCTGCCCTTGACATACAACTCTCCTCCTTAGGTTTGTTATGTAGAATATAAGTTCAGTATGCAAGACTTATGAATGATGTTGCTTCTCGACATTACAGTAAATCTATTTAAACAATAAAAATATGTAAAAATAAACTTGAAACTGAAACAGCTGGAAACTCTCCACTGTATGAGAGAAATAACTAGGTATGGGCCATATGCTGAAGGTTATTTTGTTCTCTCACAGATTGGACAGTTAAAGAATTTCTCGTACTTTATAAATCATGATCTCCATGTCCAATAAGGGCAATGTCTTTAGGATAGACAGTGCCTATTGTGAGTTCCTTATTTTTTGCAAGTACTTAATTTAGTGAAATGACTTAATTGTAACATCAAAATAATGACTTTCACGTTTACAAAAGTTATTTCCCATAGCGGGGTCAATCTGGTGTCAACCGGCATAAGACACTTTTTTCCCTCTAAAACATTACCAAATTTATGGGGCAATGTCTTTCAAATGAAATCTGAAGGAATATGTTCATTATGTTTTTTATGTTGCCCCATACCATGGCAATACAGAGACAAATCAAAATTGTTTGATATAGTTTGAAGGTTGAAAATATTTACAGGTAAGTTACAAAGGATATAAGAGAAAAGTGAGTTTTACATCGGCAACGGGAGATAACAAAAGAATGTGAAATTTGTCTATTGCAAGAATATGAATTTGTGTATCTATTTTTGATCTAGAAATTTTACATGTATTTCAGAAATATAAAAAATAAAAGCAAGTAATTTTATTTTGCGAGTGTTGCTTCTCGATTGTGAAATTATGACATTATGGAATAGAATCTAATGTATCAGACATTTTGACTAATTTCTTCGAAACTTCAATATCTAAGCATGCTTTGGTTACATAGTTTTATAGTAAGAATTGTTTTTTAATAGATGAAAACAACAAAAGTCATTCATACGATAAATTTTATTTTGATAAATAGTGATATCATTTTTGGAAAGTATTAGATGATATAGACATAGAGAGATATTAAAATTCACAAATTATTTATGCCATCAAAAACATTTTTACAGGTTGGGTGTCAGTGATTGGAATGTCACGGGGATTTGAGATAGACATTGATGTCACTCTGAGAGTGTACACCCCAGGTGCTCTTGGGATTTACCAAAGACCCCCAATGTTGGAGGAAGCCCATGCTTTCCATAGAAAAAGGATGGGAAATTCATTCAAATACAGACGGAACAAATCTAAACTCCTGCTTTCAAAGGGAGAACGCTTATGATGAGATGAGAGTTAGAATAAAAAAAATTATAAAAATGGCCATTATTTCATATTTTGTTTAAATGAGGCAACCTTATTAGGGCCCCGCAAGGATTTGCGGGTGGCCTATAGTAATCACTCTGTCTGTCTGTCCGTCTTTCTGTCTATCCGTCTGTCATTCTTCCGTCCACAAATTTTCTGTTTTTTTCTAATAACTTTTTTTGTAGTGGACCAATTAAGTTCAAATTTGGTATGTTGGTTGAAGAGGCAGTAAGACATATTTTGATGCTAAGTTTGGTTCTCTGTGTCATCCAGTTTGGAGCTGGGGTGGTGGGGTAGATTCCTTAACTTTACATTAGAATGAATGCCAGAGCAAAGAGAGATAACTACTGAGAATGTTCCTATTGTAAACTATGTAAGCTGCAACTAGTCCCATGGGATTAATTAACTTTCCTCTTGAAGAAAATCCAAAGCATTATCTGTTTCTGTCAAATTGAGATTAATTAACACCTCTGTCTGCAAATGAAGTTTGTTTTGAAGTTAAAGTCAATTCTGAATGATGTTTACATTCTCTGAAATATGGATTTAAATAATATTCATACTTTATTTTGGTAAAATACACAATGAGTTATGATTTTATTGAATTCTAAAAACAAGATATACATAAAGATACGGGTTTTTTTAAAATAATTTTTTTTGTTTTTATTTATTTATTTATTGTTTTTTTTTTGTTTTTTTTGGCTGCTGTGTGTAAATTCAAGAATACTATTAATTTTATCACATAGTCTGATAATAAACTCATTCTATCATTACTGAAAAAGTTCTTATTGTAAACTTGGAAGAAAAGGATGAGAGAGCAGTACAATTAATCCCCTGGGATTAATTATCTTGTCTGGGGCAGAAAATTTTCCAGGCTTATCTTTATTTGTCACTTTAAGATAAATTAACCTTTCTCTGATGTTTGTTTTGAAGTTGAGGTCAAGCCTGGGTGATATTTGCATTCACTGAAGGCTGGCATTTTAAAGAACACATGCTTTATTCTTGTTTAAATATACATTTAATTGAGTTATTATAGATATGATGTTTTTTACTGCCTTAATATGTAAATACAGGGATACTCTTTACAGGTTGTTGGATATTTAGGAATTATCTTGAAATTTTATAAATACAGTTGTTATTGCATATTCTTCTTCATATATTTTTTAATTTTTGTAATCAAAATTCTCATTCTGTAAGCTGCACCCATATATTTCTACCCCTCGGCGGTGCCCTTGCTGACTGGTCAGTTTTCTAGTAAAAAATGTCTTTGTTGAATTTACAGAATTTTACTTCACAATAGAAAAAACTTTGATTTGTACCGAAAATACCAACAGAATCTGAGTTGCATTGACAGCATTCTGATTACTGTATGGGGGGAAATAACTCTCAGTGAAAATACTTGCTATATTCTTGGAGTTAATAAATCTTTGATTTCAAGAAACAGTTTTCAACTTTTTTTGCAATTTGAGTACAGACTACGATATGTGTATATTTATATATGTACAATACATAGTTATTCAGTAATTACGAGTGGCACTTGTCAATTATTTTAATTATCACGCTTTACTCAAGGTTATGAAAGGCCAAATTTTCCCTCAAATTCAATTTTTTTGAAACTTTGATATTTTGTTCTGGGATACAAAATCTATCTTTATTTATAATAAGAAAGAAATTTAACAACACATCTTTTGCACACATAATTTGAAATATGACCAATCATGCCCCTGTAAGAAGATTGTGAAATCAGACACTGGACTTGAGAATGTGCATTATGTAAAAAATTTGTGTGATGCTGCTTATAAAGGAAACTTTTTTGTAATAAAATTCAATGAAATATATTGATACCTATATATTTGAGTACAATGTAATGTAAAATAGAACAAACATAGCTCAGGAATCACAAGTTCTCTTGTATATATGCTACGAGAACGTGTAATTCAACTTTTACAAAAAATCAACAGAAGGATTAAAATGGAACCCAGGTTATGAATTTATAATGTGTCAAAATGAGGGAAATTGAACCTTTGGTTTCAGAAATTTTGGCAATTTAAGAAAAAAACAATTCAGAAAAAATTAAAAGAATCAGTAGATGACGTTAGAATGTTTGACCTTTGACCTCTTAATATGACCTTGACCTTTACTGTACATGAAGAACGAAGACTCCTTATAAATATAATCAAATATCAGGTCTCTACGATGAATTCATCAAGAGTAACTTTGCATTTAATAACAGATGTGAAAATTTCAACCCGTGAAATTAATCTCCTATACAGTATATACATATACCTCTTTAAAATACTTGAATCTTTTTTCCTTCTCATGATCAAGAATTCCAGAAGAACAAAATATTCAAAGATTATTTTTACTGTGCAATTTCAAATTTGGCATATTTTCATAGTTTTACATCTTCAAGCATGACTGTTGACTAAAAAATAAACTTAATGCGTATTGATTGAATTAATATGAAATGGCTTAAAGATCAACACATACCCAGTTGTATCGTTGACCTTCAGTCTCTTTGTTTTAAATTGAACATAGTTTACTTGCGTCTTCAAACCTTATATTCCAATTATCTTGAAGACACTTAACATTAAATTGATAGAGACAGATAATCATATTTCTTTGGTTGCAAAAATGACTAAAGAATATGGAAAACTTAATTGAGTTTCATTTATATACACTGTAAAACTCTTTGCTTGATTATGAGACCACTATAATCTTGTTGGATGGCAAAATACCCCTAGTTATGAAGTTTATGGAAGTTGGATATTATGCCATTTTTCTGTAAAATTCTAAACAGTTACCAATTTTCTCTGTTTTAGATTAAGTATTGAATTTTTCTTGTTCCTCAAAAGATGTACATTCAATTATATTTGAAATCTGATAAATTTTCCATGAAATTTTGCATGCATGCAGGAATTTCATTTCTCATAATCTCTGCATGCATGGTCTGAAATTATTTACATGTTCATTTCATTCATTGATGCCGTCACCTATTTCTCTCTGTTTTTGTCCGTCCTCATGCATTGTTAGACGTGTGTCGTGCGATGTGCATTAACATTGGAACATTTTCAGCTTCTTCTCTGAAACCGCTCAACCAATTTCAACCAATTTTGGCATATAGCATAAAGGGGAACAAAAATTGTGAGTTTCATGGTCTCTGTTCCCCTGGGGCCTGAGGGGTGGGGCCAAAAAAACCACTAAAATTTGTGCAATATCTTTAAAAAAAACTTCTTCTTTGCTCCTAGAGATCAAGCAGTCAAACTGTTGGCATGATTGTAATAAGCATTGAGCCCTCTACCAACATTATGAAATTCATCACCCCAGAATCAGGGGTTCTGGTGCTAGGATGGGGCTCTATTGATTATATAGTGAAAATGCATTATTTTTTTAAAAAAAAAAAAAATCTTCTCCTCTGCTCTGGGTATTAAGCAAACAAACTAAATGCATGGTTATAATGATCAAGGGTGTCTCTTCAAAATTGTGAAATTTGTGGCCTCAGGGTGTGGGGTCCTGTGAGGGGGTTGGGGGGGGGGGGTTGTGCTATTGATTATATAGTGAAAGTGCATTATTTCTTTGAAAATCATCTTCTCTGCACCTATGTATTAAGCAGATAAACCAAATATATAGTTATGATAAGCAAGGGCATATCTTCCAAAATTGTGAATATCTTGGCCCCTGGGTTAAGGGTTCTGGTGTTATGGTGGGTGTCTATTGATCATATATTGAAAATGCATAAATTCTTTGAATATCTTCTCTGCCCCTGTATATAAAGAAGATAAACTAGGTGCATGGTTATGATGATCAAGGGTGCCTCCTCCAGAACTGTGAAATTTGTGGCCCCAGGGTGTGGGGTCCTGCTGGGGGGGGGGGGGGGCTATTGAATATTGGCTAGCAAAAGTGCCTTATTTCTTTGAAAATCTTCTGTACTCCTAGGTATATAGCAGATAAACCGTATATATAGTTATGATGAGCAAGGGCACCTCTTCAAAATTGTGATATCTTGGCCCCTGGTTCAGGGGTTCTGGTGTTACATTGTAGGACGGAGCTCTATTGATTATATAGTGAAAGTGCATTATTTCTTTGAAATCTCCTTTTCTGCCCTCTGGTTATTTAGCAGATAAACCAAGTACATAGTTATAATGAGCAAGGACAACTCTTCCAAAATTGTAAATATCTTGGCCCCTGGGTTAGGGGTTCTGGTGTTAGGGAGGGGCCCTATTGTTTATTTAGCGAAATTGCATAAATTCTTTGAAAATTTTCTCTGCTCCTGGGTATTTAGCAGATAAACTAAGCACATGGTTATGATGATCTAAGATTGTGAAATTTGTGACCCCAGGATGAGGGGTTCATGTTGGGGGAAATGGTGAAAATGGATTTTATTTTTTTGGAAAATCTTCTATGCCCCAGGGTATTTATAGAAAAACTAATGCATGGAAATCTTTCAAAAAAGTTCATAACCCTGGGGTCAGGGATTTTGGTGTTAGGGTGAGGCTCTTTTGAATATATAGTAGAAATGCATTATTTATTTGAAAATCTTCTTCTGTGCCCATTGTTATTAAGGAAACATTACATGGTTATGATGAGCAAGAGTGCCTCTTCCAAAGTTGTGAATATCTTGGCCCCTGGGTCAGAGGCTTTGCTATTAGGGTGGAGCTATATTAAATCTATGGTGAAAATGGAATATATCCATGAAAATCTTCTTCTCTGCTCCTGGACATCTAGGAGGCAAATAGAGTATATGAAGTTGTAATAAGCAGGGCTGTTTTTACCAGATTTTGAAACTCTTCAGTACCCTTTGGTCAATTAATTAATTTCTACTGAAAGAAGTTATGCTCCTTTGCTATTCACCTATAATAGTTAATCACTGTAAATAATGTAATAGGTCAATTGAATAACAGAATTGTACAAGAACTTATAATATTTATATATTATTTATAATTATTTATAATATTTATAATAATATATATATTTAAAATTATAATATTTAATACAAAAGTACTTTCATAGATTTTAATGGTCATGTAAACTTTTAGATAATAAATAAATGAAAATGGGACAAAAATACGATATCTTTGTATAATACATCATCTTTAAAGACCAAGAGAGGCCAGTGCGAGGGGGAACGAAATATGTTAACTAATAGTTCTCTAGAACAAAGTTAGCTTTTTAAAAAAAGCTGAGAGTCAGCCACTGGAATACAGAAAGTTTCTTTCTTGTATTGTGATGGTATATGATTTGTTTTATCCATCATGTTGTGTTCATTAAAAGTCATTGTCGTCTAAGTTAAAATTCGCCAAGTCGTTTTCTTATTTGTAACATAATGCTGTACATAATAAATAATAAATCATAGAATAAATTCTAATAAGACTGCATCGTGATCTTTATGATGACCTCCAATTAATTTCGCTTGGGCGCAGACATCAGATACAAGCCCGTAGGAAGCAATTTCAGTTTGTTTGTTTTTTTTGGGGGGGGGGGGGGCGGGGCACAGGTATACAATTTCAGTTGGAGGGGCATTATTAACTACCAAAAATTCCTTGACAAGTAAAAAAAAAATAAA